TGTAATTCAATCGATGAAGAATCGTATGGTGTAGTATATTCATTAGATTTTATTGTGGACTATGAGTTTTACGCGGATAAAAGTAGTTACAATAACTGTAGCAGAATTCTGTTGTGAGAATTTCAGTAATGCTGTCCACCTTCTATTTGATTGCTTAGATGGTAATTGTGTGCCTTACGATTTAGAATAAAGCGGTATATCATCCTGAACAGTTATTCTACGTTGGCAATGGGCTTGATGGAAAGAAGAAAAATGTTTCTTGAGTGTTTTTTAGAGTGGCATTGTACATGCACTGAAAATGGTTTGAAAGTTGAACCCCATTGGAGCAGTAATTGTTTGTCGTTTCTTCAGAAATCGATTCTCTATGATGTTGATCTGCTGACCTATGCCAACGATGTGTTTTACAAAATGTGTGTGTTTTTTTGTGCTCTCGGTTCACATCGTATCCTGAAGAGAACCATCAAAATGGTTTGTTTTCAAATTTCCATAGCAATTTTCTGGTGAAATGTTCCACAGTTTAGAAATCGATAATAGATATTAGTGACGACGGTCTGATAAATGGGTCAATGCTGGTTGCCGCTGTAATGCATTAGAGAGACCCAGCAAGGTCTTGAATTAATGCCGCATCTTATATGCCCGAAAGTATACGCATCCAGTTCTGTCGGAAGTTCAGGAATTGAGAAATAGATTTGACTAGCCTAAAGCCCATTTCGAGCTTTTTTTTATACATTCATGTCAAACACAAGGTCGACATTTGATCTTGAGAGTTACCGGGGACGAAAAAGTTACAAAACTTGGCCATTTCAAGTGCTCCAGAAAAGATGAGTAACTTTTATACAGAATTTTTTAGATGTAATCGCAATAACTTGTTTTTTTTTTTGTAAAGATTCACTGCAAAGTATTAAATAAAATCGTTTTAACACTTTTATTCCAAACATAAAAGTTGACAGCTGCAAAAAAATTCTAAAAGACAACAGCGTGGTCAATTTTCGAAACAAAATGCTACTTTTTACAATTTCAATTTTTTGTATGCTACGATATGAGCATGTAACTAGTTACTTTGTAGCGGTCAAATATCTCTGTCTTCCTCAAATTGTCAATAAGAATTCACTTTAGATTTGGCTGAAAGTGAATTATTATTTTACGGTTGCTACTAAAACCACCATTTTTCGAGCGAATGTTTGAATACTGATTAAAAAAATTCTTATAGCTCTTGAAAAGCAGCATATTTTGAACTCGACTATGTTAATTTGCAGAGACATACGGTGCTAGTTGTATGTAATCAGCAGACGTTCCATAGTCTTATTATACTCAATAGCGTCTTTACTTTTAATCGGCTGAATGCAAGGTTGAAATTGCACATTCCATTCAGTTTAGTTCATAAAGAAATTGGGATTTCTTTTGTAACGCTATGTTTGGACGAATTTTGTGAGATACTAGAGAACAGAACGAATTCGATAACATCAGACATCTGATTTGCACATACCCCGGACGAGCATTACGACAGTCGTAAACGGTCGTATACGACCTTATTCCGCCGTATTACTTGCCGCCAGAAGTACGGCCGTAAATTGTCGTGTCGTATACGATGAAATACGACTTGTTACGACCATCGCGAGTGATCGTACGAAGTCGTATACAATTTAGATTGTGATCATATTTCATGCAAGCTTTTGCTACCTACCCCCACTCTCCAAAAAAAGAAAAACTCATAGTTGGGATGTCCAGGCTGACTGGAGTCCTCAATTCTTTTTTTCTCATACAGATTCGATGATATATTATCGTATTGTTTCGATATATCATCAAGGTGGCATGAGAAAAATAGAATTAGGACCTCCAGCCAAATTGCATATCCCAATTTAATTAAATTGATACTAAAATATTTTATTTATGCTTTTTAATATTATAAAGTTTTTCCTATGATCTTGCTACAACATCGGACAATATCCTATGTGTTCATTTTTTTAAAAGATGTCCTCAGATTTTGATTGTACGGTGTCAGTAAATAACCGTACAAGATTCAAAGATTAAGACAATTATAAGGACAGACTGAATGTTTCTTGTCAGATCTTCACAGATCATATAAGATCCAAAAAAAAGAAACATACACGGCATATAATGTAGATCTTGCCTATTATTATCTGATCGTGTATGGTCTGTCCTGCTCTTTCACTTATTCGAGAATAGTTGATTCCATCAGCTTTCCGATGAAGAACAGTACCTGGAAAGAAGGATCGAGCAGTATACCTCATTTATTTTTCTTCTTTTTCTATACTATTATTGTAGAAAACGGTTATTTTTATTTCTCATCTTTCTATATTAACAATATACAAAACGGTTACTTGTATTCCTATTTTTCTGTAGTGATAAAATAGTAAATCCTGTTTATTTTTTATTTTTTTATATTGATAATATAGAAACAGTAAGTGTTTGTCTTATTTGTTGATAACGATAATATAGAAAATGCTAATTTTTACCTCTTATTTTTCTAAATTACTAATATGGCAAATCTTAAATTTTATTTCTTATTTTTCTATATTGTTGACATAGAAAATCTTATTTTTTTATTTTTCATTTTTCTATATTGATAATATAGAATATCATAATTTATATTTCTTAGTTGTCTATATTAGTTATATAAATAACAGTTTGCTTTATATCTGCGTTTTCTATATTGGTAACATAGAAGACCCTTTTTTTATTTTTCTGTTATTATCAATATAAATAAGTAAGAATTAAAAAATAAGATTTTCTATATTATTAATATAGAAAAATGAGAAATAAAAATTGTTTTTTCTATATTACCAATATAAAAAATCAAAAATAATAATAAGATTTTCTAAACTACCAATTTAGGAAAACAAGAAATGCAAATTAAGATTCTTATACTATTGATATAGAAAACTAAGAAATAAAACCAACTATTATCTATATTATCAATATAGAAAAATAAAAAAATAGGACTTTCTACATCAGCAATATAGGAAAATGAGAAATCGAAAGTAGCATTTTCTATATTATCATTTTAGAAAAGTAAGACAGAAAACTAACTGTTTCTATATCATCAATATAGAAAAAATATATATAAAATCTGATTTTCTATATTATGAATATACAAAATAAAAACAATAAAGCTAACTGTTATCTATATTGTCAAGATAGAAAAAGAATAAATAAAAATGAGAATTTCTATGCTACCAGTATAGAAAATGAAAAAT